CAGAGGCTCTCCTGACAAACCCCTAGCGTCTTTATCGCTTCATTTTGAGTTGCGAGGGAGAAACCTTTACGTTTGCAAATCCTGCGCCTCACTACCGGGTGGGAATCGCTCCAATGGAAAGGATCACGGAATGTGCCTGTTCAAGGCTACATGGCTGCTTCAGCTGCTTCAAATGTGGCCTCAAATGTTCCAAAAAGAGTAACGAATTTCTGTAGCTATGCAAACCATAACAAGGCTTCCCAAATATGGGCAGTGTAGTATAGAGGCGGCTGTAGAGTTGCAGCTTTGCTGCTTTTATTACACGAAAATTATGAAAAAATTATTCACCTCTAAGAATTCTTGGCCATATCTTGGCCATAGGTTGGTATATACTGAGGTTTCTATGGCCAATTATCGCTTTGTCAGCGTTCTTATAAATAGTTAGCTTTGATTCTCGTATCCTGAGGCTGTCCAGATGACGATGGATAGTAATTGAGGGAAACATGGCCGATCCCTGAAAACACTGAAAAAATTAGGTGCTTCATGTAATAACAATTGATAGTTTGACACTAATAATTCCCGATAATAAGGAAGAGACACAAAGCACCGCATTCCTTTTCTCAGGATAACGCCCAAAAATATTCAAAAGTCCTGATGTGTTCGAGCTCAATCGAATGTAAGAAGGACCACGTGAGACCAGCGGTTCCTCGCTCCTTCTTCCCAAAATGTAATTTGGCCACTCCTCCATCCGAAGGACCACGCCTCAGACCACACGATCTCGGATTTCCGGCGTAGACCACACACGAACTAGGATTTCCGGCGTCAATACAGTATCATCAGCGTGGAAAAAACGGTACTCGCACAATCTGTTCTGTATAGAGAGGGGGGGAGGGAGCAAAAAGAGTCAGTTTGCCCATGCACACCATCGAACATTTTGCCGGGTGCAATGCCGCTGTTGATAGGGGTTTTACGGCAAATATCCCTTGATGTACCCCCCCCCCCTCTCACTCCCCTAAGCAGACGCAGCCTTCCTTCACTCCCCTTAGAAGATGACGCCATCCACCATTATAATAGTAGGATCCTGCACGACCTCAACTACTTTAACACATTCACGACGGCGCCCCTTTTCCACTTTTCGGTCGCGTGGGACGGACGCGATTTTGTGGGCGCCGCCGCCTCACCTCACATCCGCAGATTTTGTACTGTAAATGAACAAAAACATGAATGTCAAAATAATTTCTGCAATGTCCAATGCGTAAAGATTATCTAAACATATAACAGTAGGATTTCGATCAAACGACGAATAGTGGTAACGAAAAGAGAGCATTTATTCACTTTCCCCGTGAAGGAATTTAAAAGCATTTTAACTCGATTACGAGATTTACCCACCTATCTTTCCATTCCTAGCGCCTGGCAAGCGATTATCAGCTGGCAGCCCATATGGGCTGCCATCGTCCCAGGAGCACATTCCTTGGCAGGTCCATATGGACTGCCGCTGAAGCTTAAAAATAGTATCTCTGACGAAGTGAGAACCTTCCTGCCCCCCCCCCCCCTCCCCGAGCAGCGCTTCAGATAATGTAGTAATGGCCCACGATCCGTCAAGCCTCGCTGAGGTCGAACCGCGCACCATGTTCCCGTGGCGGATTTTTTGATGCCGCCGGTGTACTAGAAGGATATCATGAAGCTTTTTGTAGATCAGAATCGAATGTGATTTTAACTTTTAGTTAACGGAGGAAGAGTGGCTTCTTTTGCCTCCGCCCCGGTATAGGTAAGAAAGTAAAGAACATCGTCACTATTTCTATTGGATTTCCATTGCGAAATCGCTTGTCAGGGTTCAGTAGTAGCAAAGTTGTTGAACCCACCCAAAAAGGAAACCACCTTCTCTCGAGCAAAGTTTCCACCCTATTTTTAGTGAGAAGGAGGGGGTTAACAAATGTTCTGTTGACCATGAGATGTTCAAACAAATTTTGCGAAGTGCACTCTTCAATAGAACGAACGTGTTCGTGTCGAACAAAAATGACCTGCGACAACCTTTAAAGAGTCTTTTTTGGCGTCGCCGTAATATCTAAAAAGGAGACAGAGCATGGTCTCTAGACACATTCAGGGGCCAAGGCCCTGGAGAGGGGGGGGGGGAGGGAGAGGAGCATCTCGCTAACAAAAGCAAAAGCACAGAAATGAGTAGTAATCTGTAATAAACTGCATTAATCTGGTCAAGCCATTGAAAAATTACGAAGGTTGTCCCTTCCCACCACTCCTACACCCCCTCCCCCTTCCGCCCTCGATTAGCTTGAGCCTAAATTCGCAAAGAAAGGCGACAGGCTGGGTTATGCTCATTGACAAGCTTCCGTTGCTCATTGCTTGAGAAGTAGACCCGGATATTTGATTTTTGAAGTAGCCTCTTTCTGTTGACAGCAGTAACAGCAGTACCAACAGAATGCTCCCTCTACCCCCCCCCTCACCCCACAATCCCCTTGAGACAACAGCGCTCATACTTTGAGTGGATAAGGAGATTGGCTGAATGAGGCAGGTCCCATTTTTCTTCTTCTTTTATTTTTTTACTCACAAATTACTCCCATGGTTTACAGTGACCAACAATATAATATCGGGAAATCAACATTTCAAAAGCCCAGGGTCTGGGATAGGATAGCCGAATGGAGGCTCATGGCTATAGAGGCTCTCAAGAGTCGGCGTCCTTCCAATCATGACAGCATGCTACCCGCAGGGTAGGCAAAGAATAGCATCCTTTGATTTGCTGGTTTTTAACCTCTACCAGAAAATCATTTACTCAACAAGGCCCACTTTGCAAATATATATTTCCCTGAGAACAGCCCTGGCTGGGAGTAGGAATTTTCCTTCTTTTCTTGTCAAGAGAAACAGCCAACGGCCTGATTTTCGAGGAGTTCTCCATCAAATAGTGGTCAGCGAAACTCAAAGGACGCCCTTTACGACTGGTGAGCACCCAGTTTACCTTGCGCTAATTTTCGTGCTACGATGGGGCGTTTTATCAGGGAGATCACCTGGTATTGTAAATTTCAAAGCACTTTGTGTGAAGTACATATGCGACTTTCTCAAAACGTGGACATATTGTTGTTTTCCCATACAGGCGTCAAAACGTGATTACTCCTCTTGGGGAGCATCGTTTCGAAGGCCATCAAGGCAATGACGAGGAGTTAACGATGAAAAGGGAGCCCATCGAACATTAAGGTAGAGGTGGTCAGTGGTGCAAGATGAGGAAAAAACCATGAAAAACGGCCCAGAACCCGCATTGACGGGACCCTTATCGGTGCTGCCCAAACCAATGCTAACACTCCTCTGGACAACTACTAGAGTCGGACGGCAAAGGGTGCCCATCGGCGGGCGTGCAGATGCGCGAGCGACGCGTATACGGCCCTGTTTAGCCATTATGAGCATAGATCTCGCTGCGGAACGCGCATTGCCCCTCTTCCATTAAAGGGCCCGCCTGCCTTCGACTAAGTCTATTACCCCTTGCACAACTTCCGACTTCATCATTGACTTCTCCGTTGAATTTAAGTCAGGAATCCTTGCCTGTGAGGGGGACCGGTACCAGAAAGACATTAGGGCCTTCTCTATAAGTGTACGAAATCCAGGGCTCAATAAGGTCTAGGGTTTGGCCATTGAAAATGACTTTCTGACCTTCGTTCCTATGTGGGTTTCAGAATAATCAAATACTGCATGTATGGCGTCTCTACTCCAAGAGTGTCCCAATTTCACACATCCTCTCAAGCATTTGAGTGGGCAAGTGGCGCTTGGGAAAGCGCGAGGGGGGGGGGGTAGTTTATTGATTTGGATCTTTTCTGGATATTTGAAAAGTTGTAAATTAAATTTTCGCTAACGCTAACGTCAGGCCCTTGTTGTTCGAACTCGACCAAGTCACTTAACCCTTTCGGCCCTGGCGGTAGCAATTGCCACCACCAAATTTAGTGGTTTGCCCTACCGGCGCGCCATATTTCTACTCACTGGTAGGGTCGCTTGAACAAGCTTTTCCTTCAAAACTTTGCTTTGCACCCACCCACCAAAATAGAGGGAGAATTTTTTTCTCTGAAAATG